GAAGCAGGGAAAGGGAACGTGGTGTTTCTTCTGGATTTTGTTGCTTCTAACCTGCACACCCCAGTTCAGTATCAGTAAGCAAAGGTTACACAGTCGGGTCAGCATCACTGTGGTTGCCAGTCCGTTTGAACCACAGGAAAAAAAAAAAATCATTCCAAATTACTCCATTGATTTAACATTGTAAATGAACAGCTATGAGAAGCTGCCCTTAGTTTGCCATGAGCCTTGTCACATCACTGCTGCACTTGCCGTGCAGTACGGTATAGCACAGCATACAAGAACCTGCAGACCATTTCACCTCCACCTCTGCTATCCCACAATGAATCATCCCATATTTCCCAGTGCCAGCCCAGCACACAGCAGCCTGCCTTGCTCATACCTGGGGGCAGCTGTTAAGTTTCCATCACAAGGCCAGTAATGCCACTCCCCTCAGCAGCAAGAGACTCCCAGGGCTCTCTGCTGGCTGAGTTCCACGCTCAGTCCTGATGCAGCAAAACTCTCATTGGAATCAAATGAAGCTGGAGCCATTTGAGGGATCAAGGTCAACCAGCAAGGCTGGACAAGGTGCATTCTCCCGATCCACTCCCATGTGGTTCAGAGAATGTGCCTTTCTCCTGCTTTCCCCCCAGTGTGGGCACACATCCTGGCCCAAAACGGCCACTTCCATCATGCCGGTTAGCTCCTAGGTCCATTAAGACCCGTCAGGATTAACTAAAGCCCATGAGTAAAGAAAGATCAAGCAGGGCAAGAACATAAAAATGATTTGAGAGATGCACAAAGATGCCTTCCCTACTTTAATGGACACTGACATCGTAAGAGGAATGGGAGGTGGTGCAGACAGGAGTGGCTTTTAACTGCCTGTACAAATAGAAATACAAAAGCCCCTTTGGCCACAGTGCTAACAGCAGAAGTCCCTAAATATTTAATGATTCCCCGTGGCATTATTTGACCCCTCTGATCCCCATGCTACCAGAAGCAATTGACAGAAAACTGTTGGAGAATCACTTCACTGAAAAATTTAACAGGCAGACAGGGTGTGAAAGCTAAAGAGCTCTGAAGCTAGTCAGGTCTCACATGGCAGGATCGCTTGCAGGTTAATACTGCATAGGAAGGGCCAAAAAAAGCTCTCTTAAAGGTGCTGGTGAGGCCAACCGTAGGGCACAGGAGCACAGAGCACAGAACCACCGCATTCCTGTGCCGCAGTACCTGCACCATTGAGCCCAAGTGCCAAAATGTTGCTGCCCTGTAGGTGCTGCTGCCGCGTCGCTGCTGCCCTGTGAGTGCTGCCACAGAACTGTTGCATCGCAGTCCTGCTGCCCCTGCACTGCCCTCCCAGCCCCTGCGCTGCTCAAACTGCTGCTGTCACATCAGTCACGCCGTCCTGCAGCTGGGCTGCCCCTCACTGCTGTGGCTGCAGATGAGGTATTGCTGCTCCCTGTTGTTAGGGGCGTGCTGCCACTCGGTATCGTGCTGCTGCAAAACCGCATCCTGTGGCTGCTCTGCAGGACTGTGTCAGAAGTGACAGCGTGCTTATTGCTACATGACTCCCTTACTGCCCGGACCCCGACATCCTCCTGCTACAGGCCAAAATGGAATTATCTCCCTCCCCACACTCCTTCTCGTGCCACTATCCCATTTTGCTGCATGATCACAGGGATCTCCCACCAGCCGCATCATTGAGTCACTGCCCCGCTCTCACTGCTGGACTGAGCAACCACTGCTGTCCCACTGCCACACGTGAGGCACAACCAGCCCATACTGCTGTGTCGTGTCACTGTGTCTCTTGGTGGCAATGTCCCTGTGCTAACTCATGGCTGTGCTATCAGAAGGGCAGCATGGTAATAACACCACCCTTGCTGCCTTTTGCTGCAATGGGACGGTGCTGTCAGGCTGGCACAACCCTTTGCTAATATCAAGCCAAAAGCGATCACCGCCATACAGAACAGCTCCCATCTGGAACATTGTATTACTGCTTCATTAGACCGCTAAACTCTTCTGTCAAGCTACAACACCACACTGTCACCACGTCCGTGCACTGCCAAACTCCTGCCGCATGGCACCAGTATCACATCTCTCTTCTGCACAGGATCACATTACCACGCTGCTGTGCTGTCAGTGCTGTGTTCCTCTGCTCGGTGCTGTGCAGCATCGCACGCTCACCTGCTGCAAACTCCACAGCTTTGCTGCTGCTGCTGCCTCTCCGAGCCGGCGGGGGAACGTTTCATCAGGCTAAGACGACATCCTGGCTTATATTAATACATCATCACACGCCCCTGTGTTTGTTAATTCGTGTAACGCTGGGATGCCCTAAATGAGTATGACTGTCTTATGATATTACGACATCCCTGCACCGATATCGCATGAGCCCAATTAATAAAATAGCACTGCATCCTGTATCCTGGCTGTATCTTAGCATTCTCCTGGAGTACACACCCACAGTGCACTATATTGCTGTGCCAGTTATGTAAACATGGCACTTCTGCCTTCACTCTGTCTTTTTCCTGCACAGTTACAAATCTGTCTCCCTCAGACAAAATCCTGTGGTTCCAGACTGCTCCTTTTTGCTCTTACTGCAATGACATCCTCTGTGAAGTCATCCCTGCAATGTCTTCTGCAGATCTGACTGTACCTCTGTGGTGCCTGCATCCGCACCATGCTGGAACAAGGATGGTGTTCCACATCTGTAGAGCTGGGACAAGACATGCCAGTGCTGCTGGATCACAGCTGCAGACGTGCATCGCTGTGCTTCCCTCCTTACATGTACTGCAAAATTACTGTTTTAACTGTTGCACAGTGGGCTGTGTGGGCTGGAAAGAAGTTTTTGGATTAAATGAATCGTCTTCTGAGCTCTTGCTCTCTTCTAATTGCATCACGAAGCAGGCTGCTGTTACAGCACCTGCAGCCTCATGCTGCAGTCCGGGGCACTTCTGTGCTTGTGACCACAGCTCAGCCCTGGCTCCAACCAGGGCTCTGCAGGTGGGAGTCCTTCTGTGCCCTGAGATATCCCTCACACTTCTACACAGTGCACAGCAGTTATTTGTCCACTCACAACAACAACATCTCCACCATTCATTTCCACGACAGAATTTTCCAGTTCTGATCCTACAGCTTTTATTCAGCTGAGGACTCGATACCGCTACAAAAAAAATCTTCACATCTGTCCTCCAGTATACAGCTCTTTGCACATCCCATATTGCAGCTCCCCTGCCTCTATACACAAATCCCTGAACAGCCCTACTGCATCCCACTCCTAAATCCCCCACTGGATGGTTGCTTTCTCACAGTTACTTCAAAGAAAGTGAGAGATGAATACAGGGGGGAATGGGAATAAATAATATTACGCTCACAAATGAAGGTGTTGCTGATTGTTTCTCAGCGTTGTTGCTATGTAGAGAGTGGAAAACCAAAAGCCAGAATCTGTCTCTTTTCTGTAAGTTGCACTGTTTGAGGCCAGAATTAAATTTTGCTAAGTTTATGGTGCTCGGAAGTGTCTCCTGGCACTGGAATGCAAGCAGCAATGCAGGTAAAAAGCTGCTGTTCAGGAAAGGACTGTGGGGAGGAGCCCTGAGCTGGGTCTGTCGTGTTCCTGGCACTCTGGGGACAAACAGCTCCTCAGACTTCGAATCTGTTCTCGGATGCATCTTCACGTTCCTCGGAACTGTGAGGCAGCACTGAGCCCATGGATTTCTGAGCCCCCAGATTTTCAAACAATACCATTTGCTGTGACCCAGCTGGGCACCACAGCACTCACGAGGCCCTTCTGATTGCTGCTACAGAATGTTCATCTATTTCTGGTACATCTCTGTCTCATTCTGAGTAAACACAATTGTAACTCTCATACGCAGCCGACTGTTAGTGAGGATGCAGAGCTGCTGAGAACAGCTGAGGTTTGATTTTCCTCTAGAGAAGTCAAGATGAACAGAAGTAGACAACACGTCCTGACAGCAGACTGAACAGGGAGAGGTGTGTCACGTCCTTCCCTTAAATCATAAAAATTCTCCTTGTTCTCTCCATAATCTCGATTTGAAAGGGCATTCTGAAAAGCCTCCCAAATCCACTTTAAAATAAATAAATAAAATAAAATAAAACACACGACAACGAGAAGGAAACCCACAAATCCTAATTCTGGCTTAATCGATCACTTCCAGAGCTGCCACCCAGGCTGCTGGCTTATACCTATAATTGTGCTCCTGGGAGATTGCAGTTACATTAATCTTCCTGGAGATTACATCTCCCGGTAACATCCCTAAACGGCTCTAAAAGAAAATTTCAAGCCAGTTTCCCTCTGCCTTTTCATTTTTAAAGGGTAGGTAGTAGCCCTGCCGGGTAATTCCACTACCAGAGGCAGCTAAAAATGACAGCTTTGTACCGAAAGCGCTCGCAAACACCGAAAGCATCTGTTCCATCCTAACATAGTGATTGGGAAGGCTTCGGAATTGGGTCAGGATTTTTTTGTCATCCTCCCCACTACCTTCTCCTGACAGCTTCTGCCATCAGAAATGATTCATACGCTGATTGTACAGAAATGTACCATAAGGAGATGTAAACAAATACAGCAAAGCAAGGCGGGGAGCCAGAGAGATAGAATCTAATAAGTAAATATCTTTTTTTGGAGGAAAAAAAAAAGAAAAAAGAAAAAAAAAAAAGGAAAAAAAATCGCTTCCCCGACTCTCACCCTCACCAGGCAGAGCCGCAACTTTTTCCCCCGGCGGTTGGCAAAGCACGGCTCCCGCCAGCACCACCGACAGCGCCCTCGGGTCGCGGCCGTGCCCCGCGGCGGTCGGAGCGCGCTATCCCGGCGGGCAGCTCGGGGATCCCCCGGGGTCGCTCCGCAGCGCCCCAGCCGCTCCGGGGACGCTGAGGCAGGAAGCAGTGCATTTACAGCGCGGCTGCAACCCGGGGGTCGGCGCCCGGCAGCGGGACGGGGGCGCGGAGGGGAGGGAGGGACGGAGGGAGGAAGGGGGAGAAGGCGGAGGCGGCGGGGGCTCCGCGCCCCTTACCTGGCCGAAGACCGAGCTGAGCATGGGGTGCAGCTGGTGGAAAAGGGGGTCCGCTTCCACCGACCGCTCGCTGCCGCTGGACTTGGTGGAGCACTTGCTGCTGGATTTGGACAGAGGCGAGGCGCCCTCTGAGAGCTTCAGGGACTCTCTGCTGGACCTCTGCCTGTGACTGAGGAAAAAGTCCTCCTCCGCCTCCTCCCCATCCCTGTCTGAGAGCTGCTGCTGGTCCTGGGGGTGACCGTGGTTGCCGTGCGGCGGGGGATGGTGGTGGTGCCGGGCTGGCCGCGCCGCTTCCTTGCCGCTGCCTCCTCTCCTTGGACCTCCTTCCGCGGGCTCCGGCTGGCTCTCCCCCCATCCATGTGACAGCTTCCCCGCGCCCCTCGCTCCGTCCTCGCGGGCGCCCGGGTGGCAGAGCGGCCTGCGGGCACTGGGCTCCCCGGGGAGCGCCTCCCGGCTCGACTCCCCGCCCGCCTGCCCGCCTCGTCCTCTGCCGTCCCGGGCACGGCCGCCGCGGGGCTGGGGTCGGGGCTGGGCGCCCGCCGCCCTCCCGCTCCCCGCCGCCTTCAGCAGCGAAGTGCGGGACTCGCTCTTCGCCATGGAGGAGCCGCTCATCGCGGGGCCGCTAGAGCCGCATCCCCGGCCGGGCGGAGCGCTGCCGCTGCGGGCAGGGCTGCGGCGCGCCGCTCACGGCATGTCCTGCGGAGCCCCGCTTAAATCCCGCACCGCGGCCCATGTGACAGCGCAGACAAAGGCCGCGG